GGGCTCGGGGCAGGATGGACGTGTCTGGAGAGGAGGAGGCCCGCTCCTCGGATTCAGGAGCCTTTGGGCGACTCAGGGTGCTGTCGAGCGAGCGGGAACGCGCTGGTGCCAAGGAATCAAGGGAGCTGGCGCGCGTAGGGAGCAGGCTGCCTGGGGAGTTGGAGCACGCCGTGGGCACCAGATCAAGGGAGCGGGAGCGCACGCGGACGCCGGCGCTCAGGCTGCCAAGGGATTCGAGTCGACAGGCGGACTTTGGGAGGCGGCGAGAGTTGCAGGCGGTGTCGGGGTGCGGCACTTCCGAAAATTGCACAGCCTGGGGGTCGGGGGACCGGGACAAAGCCGGGTGCCAGCGGAAGTGCTCCAGGATGTACTTGAGGAAGAGCTGGCGCTCTACGTCGAGCGCCTCCTGTAGGTGGCGGATGCGGGAGGCCTGCTCGCCGTCTGTTTCCCAGCGAAGTTGCGCCAGCACTTCCTGCAGGCGACAGCGGCACTGCGCGGCGGCGACTTCGGGCGCCCCCGCGCGGCCGCAATAGCCTCGGTTCACCAGTTCCTCGGCCAGCTGGCGCTGCAGCTCCCGGGCCTGGCGCACGACGCCATCACGCTCGCGGTGCAGCAGCTGCTGTAGCTGCCGCATCTCGGCCTCCTTCCAACGCAGCAGCTGCCGGATCTCGGCCTCGCGTTCCCGCAGCACCTTCTCCTGCAGCTGCCGCAGCTCCCGACAGCGTTGTGCCTCCCATTTGGAGCGCAGATGGTCAACCAGCTGCTGCCGCTCCCGCTCAGCAGTCTCCCGCAGCTGGCGCGCCTGGGCCGCGAAGCGCCGCCGCTCCGCCAGCCCGCGAGCCCGCTCCGCCTCCAGCTCCGCCCGCAACTTCTCCAGCTCCCGTCTCTGCTCCTCTAGCACCGCCGCCGCCGCGCCTGGACTAGCTGGCTTCTTGGGTGTCACGCGGCTGCCACCCGAAGGGTTGGGCGAGTCCTTGGTCATGGTGGCCACGGCCCGGCCAGACGCCTGACATTGCCTGGCCCAGGCCGCTGCTCGTCAACGGCCGCCTACCCGGCCAAGGCCAACCGCCCCGCGCGCCCCTTCCGGCGTCCCTGGTGGTCTCCACGTGCCACTTCCGCCCCTGGGCATGTTCTTCCACCCCGTGCTGTGGGTGCACCAGCCCTAGATCCTCATGAGGCTGCTTACGCCAGGGCTGGGCTCTCAACACCCCTATTCAGTCCAGCCCATGTCCTTCCTAGGATGCCCAGGGGTCTTTCTGACCCCAGGCTGTTCCCTGTTTTTGGCACCATGTCCCTTGCGACCCACCCTGATACCTTCCCAGGCTCTCTCCAATCCCTTTTAGGCCAATGGGCTGATGGGAAGCCAGGCTACTCCTCTGGGCCTAGAGAAAGGGGCTCGCTGTGTGGGTCAAGATCACAGATGAGGTGTGAGCAGACCCAGCCTGGCCTTGCCACGAGTTCAGGTAGTATATTTCGCCTAGGTGGCTGAACATTGCGACAGGATATGCCCAAACTTGGCCCTCAGCTAGGGGAAGGTACCTCTGGTTCCTGCACCTCCACAGGGCCTACCCTTCCAAGGCCCCCTGTGGTGCTAAGCACTTGCATGCCATTATCTATTTAAACCTCCTATGCCCATTTTAAAGATGGGAAGTTCTGAGCCCATAGCCTGGGCATGGTGCCAACTGAGACATGGAAGTAGGGCTTCTTCAGGGACCAAAGCCCTGAATCATCCTGCAAGGATGCTCTGAGAGATACTGACATCTCCGTGGTCACACAGCCCAGAAGTAATTGAATGGAAATTCAAACCTGCAAAATTATGCCTCCAGAGTCTTTGAGCATTCTGGCTATATTTGCCCAATCTCAGGTCACAGCTGTGAGGACCCCTCTCCGGTCTTTCTTCTAGGGGGGAGCCACATTCTGTATCTGCAGAAGGAGAGAGAGTCAAGTAGAACCCAGAGTGGGGTGTCAGCCAGTTGGAGAGTCAGGGAGGGAGGTAAGAGAATGGGGCTGCCATGGGGGCCCAACCTGCCCTTTGGTCTACCCAGGAGTGCCCGGCTTTCTGCTTCTCCAAAAGGTTAAGCCAGAGGCCCTTATGAACTCATTTGGGTCTTCATACCACCTCTCTGGAGACAGCAAGATCAGAGAACTTTCCATGGCTCTCCAAGGGGTAGTGTAATCAGATGGTTAGGGCTGGAAGACCCACGGAGTCAAACAGTTCTTCAGCTTGTTCTACTTCCGTGTCCTCATCTGTAAAATGGGCCAATAATGTAGCCCTCTTCTGGGCTGTGTGACCTCTCAGTTCTCTGACCTCTCTGAGCATCTATTTCCTCTGTTTGTGGGACTCTGGTAGGCGGCTCACTAATTTTAAACCTGTTCCCTTTTTGGCAGCTAGAGAATCTGAGGCCTGCAAGGCAGGGATTTGACTAAGGCCAGGCAGGGCTGCCATGGTGTAGGCAGCACAGGCATTCCCTATGCTCTCTGGACTCACTCTGGATGCTTCATGGTAGGTGGGATGCCTCAGAGTCCTGGTTTCCATCTAGACTCTGCCACTTTTTGGCTGAGTGATCATCGTGCGTCTATACAATGGGTATATTGATAGCCCCAGCCTTCTAGGGGTGGAGGGACATCGGAACTCTCTTAGATGAGGGCTGGGTATGCGTTAGGAACTGCACCAATGTCTGGGTAAGTTCTCATTTTCCCATTCAGGGCTTGGGCTGAACCCTCATAAGTTTCTTCCAGGAGTCTGAAGAATACCCCTGACTCAAAGGCCTCTGGGCTTTTGCATGTGTTATTCTCCACATCTGGAATGTCAACCTCTCCTAACACAAAGATAACAACAATGTCCATTGCAAACTAAGCACCTACTATGTGCTATGCTAAGCACTTGATATACATTATTTAAACCACCCATTTTATAGATGAGGAGTCTCAAGCCCCAGTAGATTAAGAGTTCTGTTCAAGATGATCTGGCTCATTGATGGGTCCCATATAACCCGTGGTTTTGTCCACTTACCTACTACTAACCTTGCCTTGTCCCTTGGCCTCAGCTTAGCAGTCCTCTTCTAGTGAGCCCTCCCTGACTCTCCAGGCTGGACCTGGGCTTCCCAGGACTCTACAGCCCTAATTGCCTCAACTGGCACCTCTCTTTTTGGAGCAGAGACATATCTGATACACATTGGTATCCCTGCCCAGGGTAGGCTCAGAGAAGGTGTAAGTGAAAAGTCCCTCCCCAGAAAGGAGGGGCAAGGATCCAGGGCCAAGCAGCCAGGAAGGGCGTGAAGAGCACTGCTCAACCTTGCCACCTAGCCTGCCTACCTCCCACATTCAGGTACCACCTGGAAGCAAGGTCTGGGGCCCCAGGCTCTAGGTTGCCCATCAGGGCCTTGGGCAGAGGCCTCAGGCTGGGCTTGGAATGAGAGTCTGGCCTCAGCAGAGATGTTGGGGGGGTCCCGAGCTGTGGAACACGCACACATGCACACATGCACACACGCACATGGCTTTTCTTGGCCGGGCCATCTGTGTGGTTAGGAGTTCAAGAGTCCTAGTTATATCTGGCTTCTCCCTACCCTGGCACCAAATGGCTCCTGAAAGGTGCAGATGGATGTCTGCTACTTGGCTAATTGCATCCAGACCTTAATGTTGTGCTCACACTAGAGACTCCTTTACTTCTCTGTCTGTAGTGTTGGCCTGGCCTGGGCAGCACCTGGGGTCTCTCATAACTCAGGCTCTGCTGTTCTGAGGATGGCTGTCTGGCCGTGAGCCAACCACATAACCTTTCTGAGTGAATTTCCCCTCCCCACAAAGCCTCTTTTCCGTGACTGACCTTCCCCAATTGTTCCTGGTGCAATCCAGACAGACAGGCCCTCTCACTTACACAGTCATTTCCTCAGGTAGGTGAGCAAGTGATCTTGGCCCCATCTGACAGGTGGGAAAAATGAGGTTTGGAGAAGCAGGTGCTGTGTTTATTCAGCACATGGACCTGTGGGCCCCACTCTTTTTGATGTACTCATATTTTTCAAACCAGGTTCCCTTGAACCACTGGTGTGTAACAGGAGGTGCCTTTCGGCAGTGGTGACTAATAAGAACACAGGAAATTATGGCTCTAGATGTTCTCTTTGAGAGGCGAGGTGAATGTGGGGGAAGACTGGCAAAGATGGCCTTTGCCTCGAACTGGTGCTGGGCCACTGGACATGGTAGCTACGGGGAGAGTATCTTCATGGAATACTCACTACAATTCTGTTTGACAGAGTAGGGCCTGGGGCTCAGTGGGAGCAGGTGGCTGGCCAGGGCATGTGGACAGCCATGGCAGAACTAGGGTGGTGGATGGGTCTCTATAGCCTGGATGTCCTGCTGCAGCCTCAAGCAGGGTCTCCAACAGGTCAGGAGGGCAGGATGCTACCAAGGAGGAGGACTCTGGGGTGAGTCTCTGGGAACCCCACAGTTACCATCCAGCAGCTGCTTGTGCTGGAGCCATCTGTGGCATATCAGGGGCGTTCTGATTATGGTTAAGTGGATGGGCAAACCAGGGCTTCCCCTGAGCCGGGCTTCTGCCATCCCCACACTCATCATGTTGTGCAATGATTGTCCAGTGACCTGCTTGTCACCCCCATCAACTCTAAGCTCAGGGAGAGCAGACTGGCGTTAGCTCATCATATTGCTGCATTCTCTGAGTCTTGGCTTTCTTGCCTATATCATGAAGGGGATGGATTACATAGGTAATTTTCAACCTGGGTTCCTCAGGACTCCAGGGTTTCTGGGAAATACTACAGGGCTGTTGGGGTTGGGAAGGATATGCCAGGAGCTGAAGGGAAGACACTGTCCCTACCACTTCCATAGAGCACAGCCACTCATGAGTGTCGTTTATCAGTTTCTAAAGAGAACTTTGGTTTAAAGTCTTTTAAAGAAGTGTGCTGTTAGAATCAAGTTTGAAAACGTCTGAGTTAGAGAACTTCCTATGTATTGCGTGCCCACACATATGCTGCCCCCACAGTCTGTGATGCTGACTTTTGAGAGAAGGCATATACTCCCTTCCCATCTTGATTCACTCCACATCACCAGCCCTATATTCCATGCTGCCTCTCTCACAGTCTCAGTCTATTATAACCTTGTAGTCATGGGATCAAGAATCCTGGGTAATCTGGTTCACATCCTCCTCTGCCAGCCTGGTCTAGCCCTCTTTCAACTCTGCCACCCAAGCCTTGAATTTTGCAGGGCTTGGCTGGCCTTGATGAGGGCTGTGGGCTCCATCCTGGTGGATTTTAAGTTTCCTAACTTCTGCACTTACAGTAGCTCCAGATTTCCACTCCGCTTTCCTTATTTTTGGATGAATGTGTTTTCAGTTCTCTGAGGTCACCTCAGCATCTAGAACAGTGCCTAGCACATGGTAGGTGCTCAATAAATACATGATCAAAGAAGACAGAGGCAGACAGGGGAGATGTGGCCTCTGTCCTCGTGGAGTTTACAGTCTAAGGGAGGACACAAAGATTAAACAAAAATATAACAAAGGAATGTGGTGAATTCAAAGCTTGGGCAAATGCTGTGAGTGAGAGGTGGGATGCTAATGGGAAGAAGAAGCCCACCAAAGCAGGTTTCCTGAGAACTGAGATGGGAGAGGATGGGAGGTCTATAGAGCTGAGATCAGATTTCAGGAGCCTTCTGTAGTCTGGCTGCTGGCACCAGCCCTTTCCCATGCCCACCCCACCCAGGGCAGGCCCACGTCCCTTCTGGCATTGATTCTTAACAATTCTGTCATGATTCGCCTTTGCTTAAGGAGAAACTGGAGCTCAGAGAGGAAGGGTAACTCAGCAGGATCCCAAACAGATCTTCTCATCCCTAGCACTGCCCCTTCCTGGATGGAGCTGGATACCTAAGGAGCAACCATGCTTTCTGTGTGTACATCCTGGGCCATGCGGCCTATTCTGGTTGGTCCACAGTCTCCTGGGCAGGGAGAGGCAGTGTGCACCAGCTTCCAGCTCTCTGGTT